TATGACTATATGTGTAAGAGAGATCACAGAGCGGCGTAGGAGGCGGTGGTGGCAGTGGCGGCGGCGGCGGTGGCGGTGGCGGTGGCGGTGGCAGTGGCGGTGGCGGTGGTGGTGGTGGTGGTGTGTTTGTCTTGCAATATGTAGTTTGTCTTGCAATATGTAAGCGAGCAGGCATTTGTGCGTTGTCCGCTCTGCATGTATACTTACGATTCCCGATGGTCGCTTCTCTAGTATGATGAATCCTTGCAAGCAGCCATCCATCCCCTCCATCACCTTGTCAGAGCTTTGGCGCCAAGAAGACTTCACATCTCAAAGAAAGAATTGCCTATTCTCTGTCTCGATCTCCGTCTTGCAAAACAATGAAAGACCTGTTTTGGCATGAGCAAGTAACATCTAAGAACTAGCAAGTTCAACCTACACTCCTGACAACCCTCACATTTCCTGCTAATGGGTAAGCTCGGAAGGAACCCCACAAGCCTAAGGTTGAACCCCCTTAAACCATATGAGCAAAAGTCTAAACTCCTAGCATATCCCTTCATAATCCCTGTAATACTCCCTATATAACCCCCCCTCTAAGGACTTGAGACCATAGCTCATACAGAAGTCTACGGCCAAGATGCAGCGTTCGGAAGCAGATATCGTAGAGCGCTTCGTTGTCCTTTTCGCGGCTAGGGCTCTTCAAGCTCTTCCCTAAACCCTAAACCCTAAACCTTTTGATTGGGCATTCCGGGTCCCTTTTATGTTTGTGGGGACCCCAAAATCAGGGTCCCCCTATTTATGGAAACTACCACTTGGGCCCAGCTACAGTCGTCCCTTTCTTCAGCATCCCACTGGCTTCTGGGCCTTAAAGGGTTATAGTATACTGGGGTCCATATTGGGCTCCCTGTTTAGGGGAACTCCCATGTGGAGGCCTAGGCCTAGACAAGAAGCGCAACCTGACAGAAGCCTCACAAGGATTATGCTCTCAAACTGAGTCCGTGTTTGGTTCGGGAGTTTTGGAAGCCGCCAACCTTGCAAGCGCCCAAGCGGTCATCTCATTCATTCCAGGAGATTCGGGCTGCAATTCTTGAATGAAGGGGTGCAAGGCCAACCGAGAGGGATCATCCTGCAACTCGCAGCCTTGACAGCACCCTAAACCACCGAACCGCCATACACTTTGGGCATGCCGAGTGCTAGAATGAAAGAAAGATTGGGGTGGGATCTTGTGCACATGCTGGCCGCAGAGTCAGATGTTTCGAGCAGTCACACGCCTAGAGAAATACAGGTGACAAGGCGCCAGCAGGAATGACTCGTCGGAGTTCTCCACAAGCTGGTGGAAGCTGAGGACGGCGTTGTACGGCTCAACCACGGTGTCGGAGACCTATCTCATGTGGTTTCTTCCGTAACAAGTGGGCGCAAACAAACTTGCACCTTACGCCTCCAACTCTCTGACTCATCACAGCTATTTGGGGGCGTCCTGGCCCTGCCTTGGGAGAAGGGATCACAGAGAACGTCTCCATGATGCGATCAGGGTACCTTGCAGCATCACTTGTTCTGACGTTTTGATGCTCAGGTATTTGCAACATTTTTGCAACATCGCGGCGCAACAAAAAGGCTCAAGATAAGGGGTACACCCATGGGGACCTAGACCGCACCAATGTGTTTTTAAGATTTTTGCACTTCCTCTACAAGACAAACCATGCGAACTTGGTCGAGACGTTTACAATCACCTTACAGAACCTCGAGGGTTCATACATCATGCGATCTGCAGGTTTCTTGGGGGCATGAAACCATCCACTAACACGTATACATATATAGATATGTGTGTGTAATATATAGCGATTTTAGAATGCTCTTACGTTTCACAGGTTCATAACAACCCAGACCCCCAAAGGGATCTAAGAATTAGATCCCCTAGAACCATATGGGATATTATATAAGGATTATAAGGGTTATTATGGGTCTATATAGGGGATCTATTTTTCAGATCCTCCCAGGGGTCTGGGAACAACAGTCAGTTTCCCAAAACCCTAAAACCCCAAAACCCCAAACCCTAAAACCCTAAACCCGAAACCCCCAAAAACCTAAAACCCTAAAGCCCTAAAACCCTTAAACCCTAAACCCTACGTAAACCCTAAATAGTCAGTTTCCCAGACAGAACTGCCACCCGGGAGCTCCTCGCGCACCTTGCGTTGAATCAGAGGATCTTCAGGTCTGGGGGCTGTGAACTAGAGGGGGGGTTGTAATATGAGCTACGGATAGCTACGGTCTAAACTCCTTCAAGGGGGGTTATATAGAATACATTATATTGCGGACTACTATAGGGGTTTTAAATGGGGATACTAGGAGTTTTGACTCTAGCTCATATAAGGTTTGGGGCCTTTGGGTTATACAGGAGTTCTCTAGGGATAATGGAAAAGAACGTGGAAACTATCATTTGTAGGTTTTAGGTATTTGGATTTTTGGGCTTCAAAAAAAGGACAGGGAAGAACGTGGACACTACCATCTAGGGTTTAGGTTTAGGCATGCTACGAGTAATAATTGAGAATCACATGGGAATGAACATGGAACATGAAATAGAAGGCGGTTTTGCATGCGGGTTTATGGGGATTCGGTCTCAAGGAACATGACCTGTAACCCGTATTTACCTACAGCTTCATGCGTTATTCCTACGAATTAGCGGGCAAATCTTACTAATCTCGGGCAAAGCTTACTAATCTGTAGGAAGTTAAGTTGGGGTTACAGTCCAAACGGCAAAAATCATGCAGAATCCGAAAATCCTGAGCCCTAAGGACGGAAAACCAAACCACAAGCCCGCAACTAAATCCAAACAGCCTTATCTGAGCGTGGCTGCACACTCCAGGCAGTGGGGCCGAGGATTGCTCTCGCAGGATTTCGGGCTTTTTAAAGTGGAAGGCCACGTAGGGCTTGGGCTGGGTCCCTCTAGGTATGTTCGTCCAGCTGTGCACATCGAATGGTTTGGGTTTAGTCTACGGCTGAGGACCGCAAGTTTGACAAAAACTGCGTCTGGGGTGGACGGTGTCTCCAGACTGCGGTGGAACTTTCTGGATGTGTTATTCCTACAGAACCCGTTTCTTCAATTCCAGGTGACATTGGTAAATCGTAATCTCCGCACTTGAGCTCTTGACGAATACCACTCTCCACTTCTGTTTGGGCACGCTACAGTACCGACGGAGCTTCAAACTATTTCAAACTAGCAGCAAAAAAGCCACGAAAGCCAGAGAAGTCATGCCCGCCTTGGAGATCAGCAAAGTTCCCATACCAGCGCCGGTGCCGCCGCCCAAAGAGTGGCAAAGCTGGAAGCCCTGGAGGCAATCGCAACCTGCATGCCCGCAGTTGACCGGAACAGACTCACAGTCCTAATGGAACCCCAAATCCATTTCGGTGACCACCTTCGCTTATGAACATGGCTTCCACGAAAAACCGAACACCGATTTGCTGCAAATTAATACTTGGACGAGATCACGGGAGCTGGCTTGTACCTGCAAAACCCAATGCCCCCAAGAGCGTTTGGATAGCAACCTGGCACACCAATAAGGCAACAGTCCCACAATGTAAGGTGGCTCCACCGTGGCTGGAAGTTCTCTCGGGTATGTCCGGGAGAGGGATCCACCGATGCCTAATGAATTGGCCCTCATTATGGGAACCGTCAAGGAGCGACCATTGGTTCTGAAAAACCCGTCTACACGAAAGGCACCCTGCATCCCTTGGAAAAGTCTTGCTTCTTGCCTTCTGCCTCTTTGCGCACAACATCAAGCACAGAGTCAATGAGCTCTGCGCCCTTAGATTCTGTCGGGAGGAAACGGGCCGAGGGACAATGCCATGTATAGACACTCTGAGTTCGACAAACTAGGAGACTACACCAGACGTGAATCCACAGCTCAAGCTTTCATTGGGCAGGCAAAGGAAGCGACGAACATCATCATCATCATCATCATCATCATCAGCGTAGTCGTCATCATCATCATCATTATCATCATCATCATCATCATCATATTCGTCAACCCGAATCGCACGACGCTAAGTCCCAGCCAACATGAAACTTTTGTACAAACACAATGAGAAAATTGCAACTCGCACAGAAAACAAGCTAAGTGCGGGGCTTCAGTGTAATGACCTGAGTTGGCGCAATCGGGTCCAAGCGATCATCCGCAGCATCCGTTATAGTATGCTATTATATGCATTCGAAATCTTGAGGTGCATTGTGCTATTCATGCATTGACTTACATGTGCAATAGTTATGTGTCAAATTGCTTGCCGGCTTGCCGTTTTTCTGGCTTGTCGCAAATTCATTTTCGCTGATCTGGTTGTTGTGGAGACATAGAATGTGGACCTTCAAACGCTGAGCACGCAGCCTTTGGCCCAGTTGTTGCCAGCTCCTCGTAAGAAACCGCGGGCTCCATATGTTTGGGGTTTATCGCTCGGCTAATCTCCTGTTTCTCAGACCTGGCTGGAGGATGTGGATGTGGCGGTTCTTTCAACTGATAAACGCATATTCCAGCGTGCCCCATCTTGGAAATGCATCTACATCATAATTTTGGTAATGAATGCCAAATAGTAATAGTTATAGTAATAGTAACAGTAGTAAGTAGTACATCTAAAGCTAACTTTGTTGAAGCTCCCTCGTGGCCGCTGTCCTGTCTGTCCAAAGACAAAGTTGTCAGGGCGGAAGAGCTGACCAAATGGCCCGGCTCGGACGGAGTCCATGGTTCCTGACCGGCAGTAATCTTCTGGATTCTGAATTAAAGGTTATGAGTGTTGAGCGATCCAGAAACTAGGTCGTGGGGCCTCTGACCTAGAGCACTTGGCAGATCTGATGCCATTGCTTGGCACGATGAACCCCACATTCCCACACCAGAAAATCCTGCATAGGAATCTTGCAAAAAGCTAACATTGCCCTGATTGACGGAATTCAGATGGCCTGGCTCAAGATCCATCAGGATCGCACGAGGAACGTAGCGTCCGCCAGTCGCCTCGTTGAAGTACACCTGGGTTAGTGTCAGCGTGAGGTCCTTTTGTACAGTTGCATGGCAGTTCATCCTCCGCTTTTTGCGGTTTGATAGCTGCTGCATCTAACTGTTCTTGCTCTCGCAGACAAAGTGCTGCAAAGCCCTGGCAATGGCCGGAAAATGAGAGGGGGTCCTACACAGAACCGTCATGGCCGAACAGCTTCGGTCATTGAAGGAAAGGTTTGAATTCAGCTGGATGACATTGATACGCTCGAGCTGCAGGTCAGAATCTCCGTGGTAAGTGCCTGTGCGGGTCCAGGCAGTGCTCGCATAGCTTCCAACCATGCAGGATCCAGGTGTGTATAGCACCTGAATTGCGCTAGGCACGCTAAGTAGAGTCTTCCAGAAGCTGAGCAATTTTCGATGGGCTCCCAAAAATTATGAAATGGTAGTTTCCCAAAATTAGGGTACCCCAATATAGACCCCAATATACTATAGTCCTTATTATTGGGGTCCCCAAAAAGGTACCCCTAATTTTGGGAAACCCCTAAATAACCTTTCGTACAACCTTGCAGGCTCTGCAGGCCTGTTGGGTCGATACCGTGCTCGTCCGCAATCACCTATGGGAAACATTCAGGGAACATTGTACTTGGCGCGCTTCGCATACGAATCCAAACAATGGTAGGGGTCCTGCTTGGAGGCTCAGGGGATGTATAACCCATGTACAGATGGTAATTATGATGCAGCCGGCGCTTCTAACCTCATTATAACCATGCTACGGCAATGAGGGGCCGTATGAAAATTGGGTTATAAAACGAAATGTAATTGTGGTTTCAAATGCACTGAACCTCCAAGCACTTGTTCTTGTACATGGGATGACGGCTCGCGGGTACTTCTCAAAACTGAAAGCTCCTTTTCTGCGCCCCAAATAAATAAAACATGTCTTCTAAGAAGCCCATCAAACAGCAAAACGCCCCACATGTCAGAACCGGGAGTCGCCCCCCTGCCCCTCTCAAAAAAGAAAACCATGTATATATATATACACACAGAGAGATACCCTAAACCTGACTCCCTTGTGGTCTCCCAGAGCCTGGCCTCCCAGAACTTGGCGCCAATCTGGTTGCCGCCTCCGGTTCCGTCGCTCCACAGGGAGTCAATACTTTGAGGCTTCTGGGCGGGTACTGGCCTCTGGTCAGCTGGGAGTGAAGGAATGGAAAAGAACATGGAAACTACTATAATGGGTTACATAAGGACTACTATTTAGGATCCATTCTTTCATTCCTAGCTAACCCAAGGCCAGGGTAGCGACCCAAATTCTAGAGATAATGCGCGATGAATGACCGGGTCCCACTAGGCAGATAAAACACTGTGGGCACACAGGATGTGCGGCTCAAACAGGAATGCTACGGGCTTCTTAGCTTGTTGATTTCACACTCTAATCTCTAATCATGCGACTTGTCTTTGCAGTTGCTACAACTGCGAGCGTTGGCATCATTGCTATTTCTGCTACACTTGTGCCAAGTTGCACTGACCACCCTGGACGTGCACGAGCTCACGCATGGCTGCAAGAAACTTGGAGATTGACGGCGCGAGGGCTGCTTGAGGATTGTTGGGAGCGCTGCAGACGGACGGAAGGTAGTCCCCTCCCCTCATCATCAACCCGCCTAGCAAGCATCAACAGTTTTGGACGCGGTTATGTTGTTGCAACACAAGAACGACTCCGAGCATCCTGATCACAATCCAAGCGGGGGATGGTCGGAAGCCTTTCCCCGTTGAGTAATACAAACAGGCATGATGACTGAGGCAGGTTGCAAGACAAGAAGTCTAACAGTAACATTGATACTGTGGCTCTCTCTAAAGAGTATGGTCCGCCTTGCAGGCCATTTATTAAAACATGCTACACATGCATGCCTACGTGCAGGAAACTCAAACCTTATCTTTGAGAGATTCAAGTCGTTGCCCGGGGTTGCCTGATGAGATGCCTTGACACACGCAAACGCGCTGCCTTGATATTTATATATATATATAGATATCTCTCTCTCTGGTATAGTATGTCTATTGTGTGTTACTTTTCTTCCTCCTTTGTGCTAATAAGTGTCTGGGACAGGCTTCTTTGCATTTGGCTCTGCATCTTCAATGTGCGACTTCTGTCATGACACCAAAGCCCATTACCATGTACGTCATCAAGTTTCGACACACAATGACCTTTGTGAGTCGTCAAACCGTTCAAACCAGCCGCAAGAAGAATCTGCCAAACTTCAATCTCAAACTGGACCAAACCCAAGCCGGTAGCAGGACTTTTTGTATGATGAGCCTTCAAGATCTTCTTGAAAGCTGCGAGGAGTCGGAGCTTCCAAAGCTCAGGGCACCCTCTATAATATCCGACTTCTTGCAAAGAAACTACTCACCCAAAGTAGCTCGTGGTTTTGGAAGCTCTTGCATGAATTCCCCAGGCTGCGTCCCCTCGTTCAGCGCATGTGCAATCACCGTCATTACACGATCTCTCCGAATATGGTGGCAGGGCACGAGCATGGGGTTTGCCACACATGGGGCTCATCCATCATACTCGCCCTCCTCCTCGTCAAACTCACCTGCCAGGTCAGGGTAATCGCTCCAGCACTCGAAGCTTCGACTGACTGATCTCAACTGCTGCAAAACTGTAACCACGCTGGAGCTCAAATCGGACTGTAGGTCCATAATGGAAAATCCAGGGGAATTTTTTCTGCATAATTTGGAATTGCTACCACATACCCATCGTCCTTCAGAACGTGTTTGCAGGCCTTCCTCCTCCGCGGTGGCATCCTTCCGAAATGCGTTGCTCGGGAGCGACATCTGTTGTTTCTAAAGTAACAGTATATCATTTATTGTTTCGGGTTAGGGTTTAGGGTGTAGGGTTTAGGGTTCATAGTTCATAGGCAGCATCATGGATTTCCCAAGCTGTGTAGACTAATGCTATACCATGTGTACCCTTCTGACGACTACAGGCTTATTATCTCACCACTGCTATTGGTAACTGTCAGTCCCTGCCATCACTACGACTCTGCTCTACTGATGTGCTCAAGCTCTTCTGGGAGTTTGGCGTTGGGTGTTGGAGAAAGAGTAGCAAGGAGTGCTGCTTGGAAACGCCGATCCACAACATGAGGAGCCTATGACCAACACATGAGCGTTACAAGGTCCTATTTTGGGAGCTCGCGTTATAAATGGCCCCGAGAAAGTAGGGCTTTGCCCTTTCAGGCTTTCGGGCTTTGCCTTGGGCACTTTGAAGATGCCACAAAACCCACATTCCTCACTATGGCGGATTTCCCGGGTGCTATTTAAGTTCAGCCATTCAGAAAATGTGAGCCGCGTGGGAGGGGAAAGTGGAATTCCAACATTAACAAGCACGTGAACCACAAAGGGAAAGGACCCGCCATCCTATATCCCCCATTGAGTAGATAGAATATAGTGTATACAGGGACCTTTTGAACTATAGTCTAAGTTATACAGGGGAGCATTATAAGGGTGTGAAGGGGGATGCTAGGAGTGTTGACTATGGCGCATATTCCATCTACTTGAGGGAGACCATTGGCCTGAGACCTTCACCTTCAAACCCTTCAACCAGCATCTGGGCCTTTACTCAGCCCTACATGGTAGTTTCCATAAACGGGGGGGGTCCCAATATTGATCCCGAGATACTATGACCCTTGTTACAGGGACTACCGCTGTATAACCCACTATAGTACTTATAGTTTCCATTTTCTTTTTCATTGTCCCCATAAAACCCCAATACGGCCCTAAGATAGTACCATTTAGAAACCCCTACAGAATCCCTAAGCCCAAAACCCTCACTGCCTGGTACTGCTGGTACTCAGAGACCAGGTCGTTCATGTTTGACTCGGCTTCGGTGAACTCCATCTCATCCATGCCTGTCTGTAAGACCGTTGGGGGTTTCCCAAAAGTAGGGGTACCATTTGGGTCCCAATAATAGGTAGTAAATATAGTATATGGGGGTCTACAGTATTTTGGGGTGTTCGGTTGCCAGTGACTGTTTGTTTCCCACATGGAGGTTAGCAGCTCACACGCGACTCCTGGACATCCTCATGGGTGCTGCCACCACGGCAGAACAGAAACATGAGCTGAATAGAGCCCTGGTCTACGTCTAGTACTATGATTGCAATCCCATGTTCAGGCAGCAATGGGACTTGGAATTCCTCTTCCCATACCCCGTGGAGCCAGAGCCCGGAGCCTTCGCCGGTGTACCAGTGCAAGAAGGCTTTGCGGCGGAACATGGCCGTGAAGTACTCGGCCACCCTGTTGCTGAGTGCGGGTGGCTGGATCTTTATTACCGGGCTTCCCGAGTAAGAAGTCATGATTTCAGTCAGGATAACTTTGAGGTTCGGGGAGGTTCGGGAGATTTGGAGAGTCACGGCCAGGTTTTAGGAGCCCCATCTAAGAGCCAAGGCCATCTTTCTCGCATAACTAGCAAAAAGGAGTTAGCTCCAATGACTGGCTAGTGCTTGGTTTGCAGTCACAGAATGCAGTTGCTTGAGTCCAGACATATGTCCCACGATGCACATACTAAACACTTAAACCCTAAACCCCCTAAACCCCAGGCGCCTCTTGAACATCTCCTGGATGGCAGTCGAGTTTCCAGCAAAGGCCACAGCCATCTTCAGACCTCAGAAGCATCTGGAATAGACATGGCCAACTGCCCTGAAACGGGGGAGGAACAAAAAGAACACCTAAAGCCCTAATTACCCTATACCTTGAACCTTGAACAATCCTGAACTCTGAAATCCTAAGCCCTATTCATCTTCCTTTGGAAAATCTGCCGCAAAGTCTTTGGCGGGGCGTCGCGCGCATGAAGCCCTTGAGGTTTACCGAAGATTGAGTGCATCTGGAGGAGCAGATTTTGCAAAAGATGTATGTATGTATGTATGTATGTAGGTATGTATGTATGTATGTAGGTATGTAGGTATGAATGTATGTATGTATGTATGNNGTATGTATGCGTATGTATGTGTATGTATGTGTATGTATGTGTATGTATGTGTATGTATGTGTATGTATGTGTATGTATGTATGTATGTATGTATGTATGTATTTGTCTTTATGTATTCTGGGTACTTGTAGAACCCACTTCGATCACAGCAACTTCCATGTTTGCTTTTCTTCGCTGAGGTGGCCATTTCCTTTCGATTCGGTCACGGCCGAGGAGCCCTTGGGCGGGATGTCGCACACCGAGGCCTTGATGTTGTTGGGGATCCACTCCTTGGTATCACTACAAGACGGGCAACCACACCTCCCAAGAATACAGCAATTGAGAGCATTCGCGAGTTCTCCTAGCCAGCCCCCTACAGTGCACCCCCTTCTGACACGTCTGACTGGGCAACACATGAGCAAGTGAACCTTTTTCAGCGATTCATGTTGAAGCTTGGATTGAAAGCCATGGTGCCACAAAGTAGGAGGAGTTCTTGTTCTGGACGTTCAACATCTGCTCATCCACCTGGTGGTATGTGAGTGGAGCAAGATGACACGGTCTCGACTCCACTAGCTCCCGAAAAATCACGCGTGCCAGCTCTGGAGGAGCAAAGCATGCGGATCAGCGAAAGCAGCGCACTTGTATTGCAGGATGTTAAATGCTAAGGTTTTCGGGCACGAATGGCTGCATACCAATCGGCTTTGGGAGAAGAAACAACCACAGCACAACGACTGACAGCTATATCTGCATGGTGATTCAACATGCGCCGTTCTCCAGGAATGACCAGGTGCAGTGCTTTGCGCTGGGAAGGAACCGAAGAAGAGCGCTGCTTCTGACCCTGTCAGTGCACCACCATTGACCCAAATTCAGAGTAAATACTAGGGACCATATTTATGCTTAACTACAAAAGGGAACCTTATGTGCACTGTCAAGGGTCCCTTAATAAGGCTAGTAATATTGACGGTAGCTCATTTGATTGACCCAGGGACCAAACCCTTGAGTACCGGTACACGGCCTCCTTGGTGGACATGCGGCCACGGAAAAGTGCCGCCGCAGTGAGGTAACGTCCGTGGCGTGGATCCGCGGCGCACATCCTCACACTGATGTTGCATGGGGACTTGTTGCGTACGGACTACTACTGCCACTGCTCCTCATCCTCCTGCTCCTCCTAGTCGTACCACAACAAACCCCCACTGCGCCACGATACCAACACCATGACAACAGCCGCTGCTGTCACTCATGCTACTATAGTTCGAAAGCAAGGCGTTGGACGGAATCCGGCGGACCTTGAAGATCGCCCCTTTCAGATTTGAACTAGGGGCCGTGTTGTTCTCTGCTTGTTGTGTGACAAGTTGCCTTGAAAAGCGTGGATTAGGGCTCAGATTAGAAAGGTTTCGTATCTTGGGACTGTTGCAGGCTTACTGGTGGTTAGTAGGGAATAGTGGGATTCATTATATTGGGGATTGTATGGGGATTGTTTAGGGGCTGTATTTTGGGCTTTAGTATTTAGGGTTTAGGGTGCCGGGGGAGGAGCTCACAAACTTGATGGTTTACAGTTGTTTTCAAGTCCCCACTGCTGGGTCGATGCATCATAAAACTCCTGCCGCCAACAGTCTTGGGAAGAAGTTCAGAGGAGGCATGACAGCTGAATGCGAGACATGTGAAGGGGCCAGTGCCCTTGGCACACTAAACTTGCATGTTACCGGGCTTTGATGATTTCTCTGTTTTAAAAAATTGCTATCAACTCCGCGTGCGTGCAGTTTGCCCCGCTCTTCTTTGTAGAGTTCAGGCCAGGGGGGTGCTACATATCTGTTGTGGACGGCCGGTTGGAAAGAAACCTGACTAGGTACGAACGCATTTTGCCGTGACAAACTATGTCCCAAGTACGAATGAGGCGGACAGACCCCTGGGCTCATTCTCAAGGCTTAGCGAGTGGGCTGTGAGAATGGGAAGAGGCATCCCTCAAGCATGAGAGGTGTACAGTGTACACATTCAGGGCTTAGGGTTCAATGTCTCCGGTCAAGGGCGCAGGGGAAGCAAGAAGACTGGGACTATATAGACGAACCTGAAGATTACATAAGTGGTCATGTCGAGAAAAGTCGCCAATGGAAACTATGACCGTGTGCGACTCTGATCATCGATACAGCCTTGACTCTGTTACTAGAGTCCTGTGCGGAATGCAAACAGCTGCGCTCATTCCTGCTAAGCTTTGTCTTCTAAATGAAGGACTGCTTAACATGGGAGGTGTCAAGCGGGCCCTCACTACATGCCTTTTTGGACCAACAGCCTTGGGAAAAGCTGGCACGGATGCATACGCCAACATGCCGAGGGTCATGTTCTTGGCGTCGAACATTTGTTGCGTCAATTCGGGAACCTGTGCTGGAGCGTAGACTTTGCGATGTGATTGCCAAAAGAGTTTGGAAACAATCAACACATTCCACACGCTCACTGAAGTGCTAACAGTGTCACATAAATCATGACACTGCTGAGTGAAATTTCAAGGTCTCTGACCTGTGGCTATACCTACCTCTCCACTGCGACAGTGAGACTACTGAAATGCTCAGCACACTTTCAGCAGCAAGCAGAAGGATGCGTCATCACATCGTTCTTGCTGATAGTTCTCGCTATGGCTGGGTAAGTCCCTCACACACTCCTCTAGTGTATAGTGCCTGCCCCATGTTGGGTCAGTTGAAGCGGTGTTTAGGGATTAGGGTTTAGGGACTAGGTTTTTTTTAACGGACCTTTCTCCAGCTGCACAAGGTAACTGGAATACCAGAAAGTAAGGCCAGAGGGATTAGGGTTTAGGGTAGCCATCCGAAGTCAGCTGAGACACTGTCAGGGCACGGTACTGCTGCGAGCCGCGGGAGGTCAGTGGCGCAAAGCCCGTCATGAAGAAGTGCAAGCCTGAGGGGAGGTTTTCGCCGGGTCTGGGCTGCATGGGCCAGTTCCCATGCATTTCCCCAAACAGAAGATGGGATTTTCTGGGTAGGTAGGACAGAAAGGATAAGTTTTGAACTGCACCCTTGAAAAAATCGCAGAGTCCGTAACGTGGGGAAGCACAAAAAACATGAGCCGGGAAGCCTGCTGCAACAAAGCTGTCGGGGTTTGAAAGCTTGCGTTGAAGGAACGCTTCAATGAAATAACCGATTGCTAGGATCTAGGGTCAGTTCCTTATACCTGGACAAGAAGGTCCGTGAAAAGGTACCCACCATCTGGAGAAACCCCAGTTCTATCCGATCTATGAGTCTGGGCGGCGCGGGAACGGCACCAGGTTGACGGCGATCTTGCGCAGGTCGCAATTCAACCTGGGCCAGGGGGCATTGGCCCGCAGGAACTGCGGCAGCAGCGCTTCCATTGTGGCAATAGCAGATAGTAGTGGCAGAAGTAGTAAGATTGCAATGGGCTAGTCGAATTTATGGCAACAGTTGCTGTATTCGTAGGACAAGGATCACTCCTTCTGGGAGGAGGGAGGGTGGGTCAAACAAATTATGGCTATGGCATGTTCCAGGGCTTAGTATTTCATACTTGGTGCACCTTGTCTAGCCGCCCAAACGACACTTCACACCACCACCCCAAAACCAGAAACCATCAGTGCACGCCGGCGTTCCGCATTCCTCATATCCAAGCTGGCAGCTATCAGGGCTCTTTTAACCACTACCTCTCACACAAAACCCCAATGCCTGGCTATTGTCATCTCTAAGGGACTCCCAGAATACATCAAAGACGTTAAGTGTGTGCCCTTAATGTTTGTAACCCTAGGGTTGGGGTCCCAAATACCCTTATGAAGGGCAAGGGCCATGTTCCATGGTTTAGGGACCCAAACCCAAGGGTATTCAAACCGTCAGGGTACAAAGGATAGCTCCCTGAACAGAGCTCCTAAACCCTAAACCCTTGTCTTTGCAGAATGTGCTTCATTCTGGGAATGTAGAAATGACAATAAACAGGATCCATTTTTTGCTCTCTTCAATGCTACTCACTAGATACTCACCACGCAATGCCAGAAGCACATAAGCAAACGGGATGTTGCATGAATGCTGCAACGTACCCTGAACCCTAAACCCTAAACAGTAGTTTCCATTCTATTTTCCAGTATCTCAATACAGCCCCAATTTCACATTCAGATTCATCTACACTACTTGTGCCTAGCGGCTGTCCTGGGAAGCGCAAGCAGCAGGTCACACCGCCTCAGACTGCCAGAGTGCTATGTTTGGTCTATGAGCCATTGTCGAAACTCCCCGCATCCCGCTTAAAAACCCCTTACCATAGTCCCCTATAGTCCCCTAGATTTTCCTATAGAAGCCCCTATATAACCCCGTTTAAGGAGCTTAGACGAGCTCATATGAAGCTGCATGGCTTTACATGCAACATGCAAAGGCGCTTGACACAGCCAGGCGGGTAGCTGTGCCTTGAATCTGCCAAGCACAAGTGAGGGTTCCCCAATATTGAAGACTATAGGATAGGGTTTAGGGTTTAGGGTTTAGGGTTTAGGTAGTATACTGGGGACTATTTAGGGTTGAGGGTTCCCCAAAATTAGGGGTGTACCACTTTTGGGGGTCCTATAATAATGACTATAGCAGTTTAAAGTTCTATCTTGGGCTCCCCCTAATTTGGGAAACTACCAAGTCTACTTTGACGCTCTGGCGGGCCAAGCCACTCATGGCTGCGGAGACCAGGTGGTTCAGGTCACCGTAGGTCGGCGTTGTCAGCTTCCTGGACGGGTCTGAGTCAAGCGGTTAACGCGAAGGGCGCCAGAGTAAAACCTCAACCCCTAAACCGTAACCCTAAAACCCTAAAAGGTTGAGAAGCCCCGCCGCAACTTACGACATCAGAACCACTAGAAGTGCAGATAGAAGATCAGACACGTAGCTTAGATACCTGCGTGAGAATTGGAATTGGGCTCTCAGGGGGCATTTTCAGTTGTAGCGACAAGGACTGTAGTTGTATGATGTCTCTAATGATTTGGCAGGGTATAAATCAGTGAAGGCTTTCAGCAGGATGGCAAACTTCCAAGACGCTGCACATCTTCAAGCAAGCATACTGCCAGAGCTTCATCTAAACCTTCGCAGCTGCGCGTCCTCCATCCCCCCTCCCACTACAAGTGAAACTACATGACGCCGATCCAAAGCCTATACTTTCGCAACTACTGTTTGCCACTAATTTTGGAGAATTTATAATGACGCTTGAGATCATGAACAGCTTTGCTGCTCCTTGAGCCTGGTATTTTCTTTGCGAAAATAAGATCTATGAGCATTCAAAGTAGTTTGCGTGCTGCGGAGACGCTTGACACTTTGGCCCTCTCGGCCGCCTAATTGGTGAACAATTTTGACTCTTGACAACACCCAAAAAAACGCAAGAAGGCCGTGGTGGACTTCAGGAATTCCTAGCTTACTTCCGCCCCATTGGTGTGCGAAGCCTTCTGGCACCTACTAGGCGATCTCAACGGGAACCGCCATCTTCGAAAACGTGACAATCTCCAGTGAAGCAAGGCTAGGTTGCTGTTAAGGAACTTAGATTAAGATACCATCATGGGTATATATATATATATAGAGTAAATCATAGCGTTTCCCGAATATAGTAAATTAAATTAAGTTCCTTAAGAGCAACCCAGGCAAGCTGGGCATGGGAAGATTGCAGCTCAGGCGCAGGGTTCGGAAGCAAATGTCGTACAAAGCTTCATTGTCCTTGAGGCAGCACTTTGTGGGACCCTGGCTTTTTTTTGCTAATGGGTTCTGGAACTTGCTTATACAAAAATGGGGGTAGACTGGCCTTATTAAGGGGATATAATATATCTTACCCAACCAACCCCACAGTCCCCCAGAGCAGAATATGCCAAAGTACAGTCAACGCCTTAGGAGGACCCCCCCACCCAGTCATAGTGACTATAAGGGATAATGGTAATTATATTCAGGGTCCTCTTATATTCCCATTACACCACTATTACAGGGTGTGGGGTCCTCCTACACAAAACCTCCTGTTGGGGTTACATCACGGTAGCTGCAGGAATATGAATCTTTCTCATACGGTTCATGGCTCATAGATATACAAACTGTGCTAGTTGTAGAAGCAATAAGGCAACAAAAATACGAAAGCTAATCAACCTTCTGAGATTAACGCCCATCTGCATGATATAGAATATGTCTGTTCTCAAAGTTCTGGTTGGAAAGCCAGCGACCCCCTAAAGCCATGGTGGAAACGGCTTCTTGAAATGGCCCCGTATGAGCACCTACCAAGTCTAGGGTTAATTCGTATTGGGGTTAATATTGGGATAATGGAAAATGAAATGGAAACTACTATTTAGGGTTTAGGAGGTTTAGCTACATCAGAAAGTTAAGGAGTGCTGTTTTAAATGCACGCGTATTATCAATGGGCGAATTCATCTTCCATATACCGGACCCCAAAAGGGACGAGCTGCCAGCAAGAAAGACTCGTCGGAGTTCTCCACCAGCTGATGAAAGCTCAGGACCTGGACCATAGAGTGTTTAGGGTTTAGGGTTTACGGCTTAGGTTCCAAAATTGCACCGATTTAGGACAATTTTTTGGATCCGGCATATGCGGTTTACAGCTTAGCGCTTGGGGGTTTCTCGCACTGGGCGGACCTTCAGAGATCCTAGGCATATAAGGGGGATCATCAACAACAACTACGGTGGACATTAAAAATCCTGCATGAGTCTAAGTACCTCATACCTTGGGAATTCTGGTATTGTTGTATAAAAGGTCAGGCAGGATTCTTGATATCAACAGCATGAAGGGATCTTAGGGTTCTGCTTTATGGATTCTACAAGGACGGTTCTGAAGAAGCTGCCAGCCTGGTATGACATCTGCCGCGATGGTCTCACCCTACCAAAGCTTTCCTGTTAATCGCCCAGGGACAGCGTTGTACGGCTCGACAACGGTGTCCGAGACCTTTCGCACATTCCCGCTTGAAGAACAAGCGGGTTTCGGAATGATGCTTGCAGTAAAGGTGCCGCTAATGGGCATGTCCCAAACACAAGAACCTGGGTCTATGTTGGGCCGAAAACAATGTCTCTGTCGTTGCTCCGCCCTAAACCGAACACCCTAAACACATAGCCCTAAACCCCAAACCCTAACATCGTACGGCCCCGTCCCTGCCTTGGGAGACGGAATCACGGAGAACGTCTCCATGATGCGATCAGGATACCTCAGTTCGTGTGTAAGACTTGCATTGACACCACACACGTAGATGATCTCAGTTTTTGTGTCACTTCATGCAACATTGCACTCTCGACCCCGAAGTTGCGAATGATCATGGGGGCTCGAGTGAAAACCCCATGGCCACTCTTCCTATCCTATTCTAAACCTTGTTGTCATTTTTTATTGGTTATCGTTTTACAAGGGAAGCAGCAAATAGGACCGCTCTTGTACAAATTCTGACAAGGGGTTTTTACCCAAGCCCATCGGAAAATTTCCATGATGCCTTACAGTGGTTTCCTCCACCTAAACCCTAAACCCTAAAAACTTACAACAGTTCAACCAAGGGGCTCCTCACGCACCTGGAGTTGGCATAAATGGCTTCGGCTGGGGTCTTCATTTTTCACTTGCAGGTTCATGGGTAATTCCAAGTTGGGCTTGAGGTCCTGGTTCTGGACTACTGCTAAGGAGCTTAGACTAGATCATCGTAATGTGGAAGCTATTTTATTCACCCATGTACTACATATCTACAGTATCAGCAGTTTCGTAGGTGAACTTGAGCTTCTTAACCGCAAGCCCAAAAAAATCCCACTGATTGCTATGTATGAACCTGCAAGCATGGCCAAGCCAAGACAACGTATGGGCCTAAGTTATGCTACAGCCAAATCCTGCTTATGAGGGAATACTGTTGGCAACTATGCAGGCTTCTACGTCGTAGCAATCTAAACTCAAACGCCATCCTGCAGTTGCAGGTTTCTCAACAAACTGGCATGTAAGGGCGGTAGGAAGACATGTAAATTGCAACAGCAGTGCACGTGTAGGTATAAGGGAACTATCTGAGAAGCTCCCATGCGAGTCAAGCCCCTAAATCCTTAACCCTGCAGCCTAGCAGCCGAAGCACTCGGGCAACAGTGGCCCCGAACAACAATAAAGCTACTAAATTTCTCCAACGAAGATATGAATCATCCTCTCCTTTCTACAAGACAAGATCCGCATTTACACTCTACGTAAACGTATGTATATACACACATGTTCCACTTGTTTAGCCAACATAGAAGATGGGAATGTACCATCTATCGTTCCGAGGAGGGGGCCCATCTTCCAATGGCAGGTGCTAGATCGCTGCTAGAAAAGCCTCGATTATTGGACTCAGGGGTTGGCCTGTTCTGCACATGCTTGCATGGGTTCCTGTTGTCCCCACCTTTGAGATCAGCAGAGTCCCCATACCGGCGCCGGTTCCGCCGCCAAGGGAGTGGCAGAGCTGGAAGCCCTGAAGGCAGTCGCAGCCTGCATTGTCGTCAGCTGGCTGCTACTACTACAGAAGGGTACCTACACGAGACCTGGAGATGGAAAAGCACTGCCATCCCCTCAAGGACCCCGGCAGAAGCACAGGGATCACTTGCTTTGCGCCTTCTGCCTCCTTTCGCACAACATCGAGCACGGAGTCAATGAGTTCTGCACCCTCAGTTTCGCAAGCTCACTTCATAACCCTGAACCCTAAACCTTAAACCCTGAACCCTAAATCTTAAACCCTAAACCTGAAACCCTACACCCTAAATCTTAGACGGTAAATCTTAAACCGGCTAGGGGCTAGGGTTGAATGCGGGGTTTGGTAGGGGAATCTATGAAAGCAGTGCATGAAAGGAGGATGAAAGATGGAAGTAAGTCCACATGAAGCAGTCTGAGCTTTGGACTTCAGTGTAGTGACCTTGGCTGGGGCCGCGTGAACAACAGGGGATGACTCACTAGGAGTAGTTGCAGCAGGAAACTGGCTTCCGTTCGCTCTGTCTCAGAAAACTCCCACAAGCTCGAAGAATGTGACTGATGCAAGCAAGAAGAAAATCCAATACTACATCCCCAATATGAACCCTATATAACACCAGTTTCCATTTTCCATGTTCTTTTCCATTTGATTCTCCATTATTGGGTACCATAGTATCCCCAAATAAAATACTACAAAACCAAAGCCTACCTGGTGGAAGGACAAACTCTCAACCGCCCCATAGACTGGGCGCCAGGCCCTTAGCCCAATTGTTGCCGGCTCCTCGAACAAAGGACAGTGCTCATATTCAATTGAGTCGCTGGCGCGCACGTCATCTCTTCAAGACTACTGCCCTTCTGGAGCTTTTATGTGGGGAAAGCATGACCGACTTTCCGCGCCCCACGGGCGACATCTGCAACTCCAAGAGTGTATACTCAAAGTTCTGGGCTTTGCTAAGATGCCGGGATTCTGGGTACAGTGAATCATAAACAACAACATGCAGAGCGTGCGGTGTTGTCATCTGAATGCGTCGCGACAAGTGGGGAGATCAGCTTTGTCAACCTTTCTGCTTGCAACTGGGATGTTCCTCAAGTTATTAGGCCCTCTCTGGCTGTTGTTATATTACTGCACCCAATATCTAGGTTACCAAAATTGGACCCTAATGTTGGGAACTACCCATATCTCATCGAACTCTGGCTTCTCCCATTTCTGCGACGGACTGTTGCCCGTCGGCGCCAGGTGCTGCATGTCTGACAGAAAACTTCATCAGCCTGAAAACTGATAGTAACAGTAATAGGAATAGTAATAGGAATACATTAATAACAGTAAGAGCAACAGTAATAGTGATAGTACTAGTAGTAGTAATGGTAACAGTAACAGTCATAGTAGCAGTAATAGTAATAGCAATAGTAATAGTACTAGTACTAGTAGTAAATCTAAAGCCAACGTTTTTGAAGCTCCCTCGATGCGGCTGTCCTGTCTGTCCAAAGACAAAGTTGTCGGGGCGGAAGAGCTGACCAAAGGGCCCAGCTCGGACGGAGTCCATTGTTCCTGCAACAATAAATTGCAAGGTCGGTGAATTAACAGTCCCCTACTACTACCTCTGAAGAAAAATATTCGTTGCTTTCTGAATCATATATCGAGAAACGTCGAGAAGGAGACCACAAAACCGAACAGGATCCCCAACCTTGACCAAGAGGAAGTTCCCAAAAGATAGTGTACATTAGGGGCCTCAGCAAAAAGTTTCCCAAAGCTGCAGGTAGCAAAGTGGTAGAGCTACACATGCCAGTCCCCGAAGCTGTCGAAAGTGTCAAATCACGATCCGTGGAACCAAAGCCCTCCACCTGCAACCTTTAATCTTTAAGAGCCTCCTTTTCCTCAATAGCTTACATAGCCCGGCTCACATGACAACCAACAGAGAGAACTTCGTCCCGATATATTTCCAAGCCAGAGGCCCCTAGCACTTGGCAGATCTTATGCCACCGCTTGGCGCGATGAACCCCATATTCCCACACTAGAAAATCCTGAATAGGAATCTTGCAAAAAGTTAACATTGCCCTGCTTGAAGGAATTCAGATGGCCTGGCTCAAGATCCATCAGGATCGCACGAGGAACGTAACGTCCTCCGGTCGCCTCGTTGAAGTACACCTGTGTGTGAGTGAACTGCGCACAACCTAGCTCCGGAGACGGCTAGAGGAAGGGAAAGGCGGGAGCAAGCTCATGTAGGGAACTAGGCAGGAACCTTAGCTCCATTTTGTAGTGGGCGCTTGAATGCTCTATGAGGCTTTGAACCTCCTGCACAGTTTAGGACGTCCCTGAGAAGATTACGTATTCCCTAATGAACCCTCAAGGTGGACTCTTATAATCCGCTTGAATCACTTGACTCCCATCTAGCCTTGGGTCTTTTTGGATCTCGATAAACGTCAAACCTTCATCCTATTGGGGCTGCATGTCGCCACCGTCGTTCCTGCTCACACAACATACGAAAGGGTGTCATGCTGAAAGAGTCTTCCCGGAACAACGGTGCCGTGGTTTGCAGAAACCCTGTTTTGGAGACGCTGACGTACAAACATGCACTGGGCCGTCGGAATCCTGCAGCAAACAATTACGGAAGGATGTGTCATTGAGCTCCTCATGATCTTGCTATACCCAAAGCAAGCTCTGTATGGCCGAAGCACATTGATACGCTCAAGCTGCAGGTCAGAATCTCCATGGTAGGTACCTGCTGGCACAGGACTAAGGTTGCCTTTGAATTTTTCCAGGCTCCGGGTTCTGGGTTGGTGGATGCTGGCCCTGCTCAACTACACTGTCAAGCTGGCACCAGGCGGGGGACAGTATGCGAGGCTCAGGAATCACAACCCCAAAGCTGACCTCGCTGGTGACTATTGGACCCTCACTGCATTGAGCAGCATAAGGAGGAAGCAAACCGTTGATTCTGTCATGTTGGTTCGTCCTGAATCGGACCGCGGAATTTCTCAATATCACGGGAAGGGACGCTCTTATTGTAAGCAGAAAATGGGATTACACGTCCCGTCAGTTGACCTTGTTCGGTTTTTGCAATCATGTGAATATATTGAGAGCACATCCCCAATCGCACTGGGAATCTCTCAGGATCAGAGCTCGGTTACCTAGCACTGAAAACCAACAGTCCTGAGCCCAAGGCTTCAGAGGCTGATTTCTTTTGACAAAGGGGGGGCCTGTAGAATGGGATAGGGTTTTGGAGTATGTTATATTATTATGCTATCGGCTATTCTTCAGGCTTCTACAGTCGGCATTCCAAGAGGACCAATGTTTGAAAGAAGGCACCAACCCCTGAAACCCGTATCATCCTTGCAAACCTTTCTCCTGCCCCGCTAAATCTTCCCTCAAATACATAGTGGTAGAGGGCTTACGGTTTAGGGCTGGGTGTATTTCTTATCAAACGGGGATCTTATGGTAGTTTCCCTAAATAAGGGGACCCCTATATAGACCCCAATATACTATAACCCTTGTTATAGGGATGCCCAAAAAGGGTACCCCTAATTTTGGGAAAGCCCCTTATAGACACTAGAGCCTAAACCACAAGCACTGTACCGTCTTTGAGCCCACCTGTGGGGTCAATGCCGTGCTCGTCGGCGATCACCTATGGTGCTGTCTATTTGAGTTTGAAATCGCATTTTTGTATGTGTATGGTTTAGAGGCCTACATACTCGGAAGGGAATGGACAATGAAATGGAAACAGGGTCTACGGGAATTGAAAGTGCGGCCACATGGGAAATGTAGCGTTGACTGGCGAAATACTTAGAGTGCGGTTCTGGGTCGTGCTGTACTGCACTTGTATGAGGTTTTTGAGGGAATCGAGGATGGTGGTAGATCTCAAACTCAACAAAATATGGGGGGGGGGTTCCCAAGATTAGGGGTATCCTTTTGGAAGTTCCCATAATCAGGCCTGTAGGATTTGAGGGTCTATATTGGGGTCCCCGTATTCATGAAAACTACCCTATGCACTCCAAATGAACCTCTAAGTATGGCACCCCCCCTACAGCGGCCCTCAAGGAAACACAATTCGATGCAACAGTATCATACTGCTTGTGTGCTAGGGTGTGAGAATGGACTTTCAAGTAATAGCAAAAGCGTCCTTTGCTAGACTTTAATGTGATGGCTGCTTCCCAGCCGAATAAAACTCCGCTTGATGTCAAGCCCCTGCTGAAGGCCTTGAGAAGGGGCCCAACAGCCTTCATCAACAAACCCACTCATTGTCAAGGACTTCTGAAACTAGATCATGGGCTATGAGTGGATTTTTGGACAGTCTAGTAGCTCTCTAGTAACGCATCCACAGGCCTGCCAACGTGGTCGAATAGAAGAGCCCCCAGAATCCCTCAACTCAAGGATCAAGCCCTACAGTTTCCACCGTGTCAACTGGTTATGCAGTCACCAGAGGATATGAAATCCAAAGGCGTCCCTTGAGAGTCCCTATAATAGACACTATGTTAATTAGGTGGTCTATACCGGGGCCGGGGACCCCTTGAAATGGAAATCCCCTAATTATAGAGGCAGTAAAACGGTTCATGGAGAACATGCGAGTAGTCTGTAGGCCAAGAACACAGCTGCCAGAGGAATGGCATGGGGTGCGTCTAGGGAGTGCACAAGAAGTTACGTAGACACAGACAGACAACGGTCTGCTGCACTCCTGACGGATGGTAGCCGCCCTAGCCTCCCAGAACTTGGCACCGATCTGGTTGCCGCCTCAGCAACTTGGTGCAAGCAGAATGTTGTTCCTAGATCTGCAATGGCAACTGCTACAGTTGCTTGCTCACCAACTAACTATCAGTGTTGGAGGTGGTTAGAGTCAAGGAAGGGCTCAACCCAGGGACAATCATCATGAGGCTTCTGCCGCTGTTGTTGTTGCTGCTGCTACGCTTCCTGGATACTGCGACATGGACAATGCGAACATGGGGACTTCTATATCACTTCTCCTCCTGTTGCCATTCGCACTACTCCTACGAAGAGTTTCAATAGGTTTGGGGCCCATTGAACTATAGTTCCATAACGACTCCAAGGGAATAATACTGGCAATGGGTCAGGCTTCTGCATCTTTAGCATGTCCCCTCCGTCAATGTAAAAATAAACTACCGCTCAGAGAAAACCCTCCCTTGTTGGGGTTATATAAGGACTATAGGGTATATATTGGGGTTATATAGGGATCATGGAAAAGAACATGGAAACTATCATTGTTGTTACCCCACAAGTTCAAGACTGGAAGGATGACGTCTTCGATGGTTCTGAGGCCCCTATCATATGGGCTCTAGTCTAAACTCGTAGTATCCCCCTTACTAATCCCTACAGAAATCCCCTATATAAGCCCCTTGAAGGAGTTTAGACTGTAGCCCATATGCATCCGGTGTGCCATTTTGCAAACTCACACCCACGATTTCGTCACGGAGGTAGGTTCCCAGGGACAAAGGCTGCTGACGTACATGGAATGTGGGGTTAACATGGTGGAAACTCAAACACCCATTCACAGCGTCTCATTTTATCAAAGAAGAAGCCTATCCGCCAAAATCAAAGCTCACATTGACACCGGTACGCGGGGAGCAGCTCCTATGAATCTCCTGAAATTGTGGACGGCTCCTGCGAGTATAGTTACTCACTTTGGACTTTGACCAACTTTCTAAAAAATGAGTCCGCTTTCCAGGGCCTCAGCACATCACATACCATCGTGCTCACCAAGTCGCACTGACCACCCTGGACGTGCACGAGCTCACGCATGGCTGCAAGGAGCACAAGGCGATGAAAGGCACAAGGGTCGCTTGAGAATTGTCGGGGGCGCTGCGGGCGCAAAGGATGTTCTGCAAAAAACTCCAAAGGCTTCTCGAACTACTCCCACGGCTACTACTACCATTGCTTAATCTGCCTCACCGTGCCTCCCCACTGACACTACAACTGGATACATTCCATCGCAAACAAGAGTCTGGTTCTACAGACCTTCTCACAGCCGTTCAGTTTAACGCTTTCCAATTAGCTTCCCCACTGAAATGCGTTGGCCAAAGGACACGTGCACCACCGAGGATCTTCAAACGGAGCCCGATCATAAACCTATGGCCACGTCAACTGCTTGTTGCGGGAGTGCAATTTCTTTGCATCTTACTACTTGCATGAGAGCATGGTAGTCTCGGATAGCAGCCCTAACTCCATGACTCCTAGACAAAGCACAAGCGCGCTGATTTCTGACTCGTCCGCCCAGAATTTGAGGTCGACGACCGGCGGCGCCACCTGGTGAGGGCCCGGATGTGACTGACTGCTTTAGCTGGGTACGCCTTGGGGACTCCTTAAGGCTTTAGCATTGCAGCCCGGACTGGATAAACAGGACCTTGGTGATAGATTGCTGCTTTCAGAAGATCTCAAGAAAGGACTAAGTAGGGATGCAGGTACCCCACACCAAACACAACAACTATGGGATTGCGTGTGGATTTAACGCCGCAGCTAAGCCATGGACTTGAACCACTCAAGAAATGAACCCTCACTGTAGACCCCAAAAGCCCTAAATCCCCCCAAACCCTGCAACCAAAAAACGCTCAACCCCAGAACCCCCCAAAAACCAAAACCCCAACCCGACTCTCCTAAACTTACTGGCGGCCGGATTATATTCCCTTATTCCGTTAGCCCTAAACGCCTAAACGCCTAAACCCTAAAACCCTATGGTTTCCTTTCTACCAGTAAGTAAAGCCCTACCTCGAGGCGACGAGCCAAGGCCTGAAAGAACGGCGTCACCTCAGTTGAAAGAAGGATTTAAGGATCCGGGATTAAGGATTTTTAGGATTTCAGGGTTCATGGATTTTAGGTTTAGGGTGAAGGATGTAAGGTTGAGGGTTGAGGGTTGAGGGTTTAGGGTTCAGGGCGCAGGGGTAATACCATTATCTGAAGGATAATGGCGAATCAATGGACAAGAAAAATGACAACTGGGATGATATAGGGATTTGGGGTTTAGGGGCTAGGCAACACCACTCACTAGGCAGGTAGTGAGTTGTTTCGCTGCTGCACTAAGTAGTCACCTCCCCTGATATCAACTGTAATATTAGCGGCAGGGGTTGTGAGTATGTTCTTTGTCTTTCTCATAGAAGTACCACATCAAAAAAGCGGATGTGATCTTACTTTACATTGCGGGCTGCCATATCAGGATGCTACTTGAATTGAGAAATCCCGCTCTGGGTTGTGGGTGTAGGCGCCTCAGGTGTGAGAACAGGTCCTGTTGAGCCTTCTAAAGTCCATGGAATTGTTAACAGGTTGGTGATGTGAAGCGTTAATACAAAGTAAAGTATACGGGAATCCATGAAGTCTTTTTTCATGGCGTCATGTCAGTCTACACCTAGGAACTGCCATGCTCACCATGGCAGTGCTTGCATGTGGCTGAGCAATTCCAAGCGAGGTGCTGTTACCTGTACGTTGCTGGTATTATGGGTTCCGGCACCACCTAGGGTTACCCCTCAGTGCAGCTTGCTTCGGGAAAGCCAAAGCTAGGAAAAGGGAACCTAGGAGCGATTTTAAATTATGTGGGGATACTTCCTGGGAAAAGCATAGCACAAGGGATGAACTCACAACGCCCTGCATTTGATCCCATAATCCTAAAGCCCTGGAGCCTAAACCCTAAACCCCTACTCCCACAGCCTTAATCCCTAAACCCTAAACCCGAACCTCGCAGGTAGGTAAGGGTTAAGGGTTTGGGGATTGCACAAAAACGCACAGACGTTGTCAGAAAAGCTATTATTCTGCATACTTCCCGGGTTCTAACAAAACCCAAAACTCTACATATCCCTATATATCCCTATAGAGATCGCTCTAGATACATCCCTCTATACATAGACATGTTAAGACAAGACATATATGTATACATATATATATATACACATACACGTACACACCATTTTAAAGGGTCCCCCCAACCCTAAACCTCTAAACCCTAAACCCTAAACCCTAAATCCTAAACCCTAAACCCTAAACCTCTAAACCCTGACTTCTAATCCTTCCGCAGAAGTCACATTGGACGCGTTGCAGGCCTGGCCCAAGGCTCAGAGGATATGGGGTTTAGGGTTTAGGGTTTAGGGCTTAGTTAGGGTTTAGGGTTTAGGGGCTTATGGCCCTTGATCCCGGGGTCTTTACCCATTATAGCCCATAAAGCTCTACAAACCCAAGCAAGGGCCCATAGTTAGTTCCCAGGGAACAAACAAGAGCCCATATTACGGCCCAGGGTTAGGATCTTAGAGATGCAGGATTCAGGGTTCAGGGTGAAAAATAAAAAAGCAAACTAGGTTTCTAGTAGGGGAGTGCTATGGGAGTGCTTCACCATGACAATGAATCAACAATCAACGGGTGTCCTAACTGAAGATTATGCAACGAGGATTTGAAGAAAAATCTGTAATCCCCTCCCCTAATAATGAACCGCACCCGCTGATAATAAATGCTCTCCCATTATTTGTCGCATTTGTAGCTGGGGCTGGGCGGTGTCTTGAAACGGGGGTGTAGTAACCCTTGGTACATTTGGACCTTCATGAAGGGTATCTGCATTGGATGACCTGAAGAATAATCTGTGGGGTATCATGTTCTGATGAATCATATCCAAATTAGTTAAAAGGACAAATCGTTTGAGGGTGCCGTTACGTGGATCCCTCACTGCATGGGAACACAACGGCTATCACAAGCGTTGCAAGTGGGGATAGCTGGATACGAGCCAGATCTTCCTCTTGCGTGTACGGACACTCATCAGCGCTGGCTCTCGACTCAGAAATTTTGAGGAGATGGCTGCCAAGCGGTGTTCTTTTCAGTGCAGCAGTGGCATTCACAAATCCAAGCCCTACCTAGGAAGCAGTACACGCGCACAGCAGTATCTGAAACACGCGGGCGCCCAAACAATATGTACAGCTGTTTTTCAGCACCCCTGGACCGCAGTAATTGCAAACCCTTCCGTGCTGCTGCGCGAAACTCCCGCCTTCTGCAGCGTGGATGGCAGCTTCTTCGTCAGGGAGAAATCTGCAAGGGGGATGCGTGTCTGCCCAGTTACGGAGTACCAAGATAAGAATTTCTCAAGATCAGGGTCTACTTCTTCAAAGCCTTTCCATGACAGTCTCAGCAGCACCTCTCAGGCCCTCCCCAAGACGAAACGGACAAAACTAGATGACAAGGTTCAAGTACCGAAGCAGCGAGCGAATGCTCAGACATTAAGCCATTGTAGCTTATTAGCTTTAAGCACGTTGTCAAAGTATTCGAAATCACTGCGCGTAATGCCTCTGCTGTCAGGATGTCACTGGACTAAGGTGCTCGCTATCCATCTTGAATTTAGTTGCGCAGAGCTTGCGTTGTAGGCCTTAGGGTTTTCAGGTTTACGCTTGTCCGAATGCTGAGAAATTGTGGTCTAGGGCATGTAGGGCTTGGGGCACGGGGTCCAGTGTTTTGAGATTTAGGTTTGTCCAAGTGCGGGCGGGTAAGAACGGAATATTGGAGTTGATGCTGCGTGCGTCTTCACATCTTCGAGTCTTGGTGCAAAGCCTGAAGCCGTGGATGCCGCGAACACCGTTGACGCCGTGACCACAGCATTAAGAAGCCATGCACGTCTTCACGTTGTCGCATCTTCGTTTCAAACTTTGTGTTTTCACGCGTTCTCGTCTTCTCTCCCCAAATCACGTCTTAACGTCTTCGTGCGCTTCGCCAAAAAATACGCACAGCTACCGGCGTCAATGAGACGGCCTGCCTTCCCTAAACCCGAACATCAAAATTACTTCCCCTAAATCTTCGACAAATCAAAAATCCTGAAATCCTGAAAGGGACCCCGCAGGAACTCCTGATAATCTCCATGTATCCCTGGGATAGCCAATCCCCTAAACATTTAAAAAGGCCAGCCTAGAGCCCCCTTCAGCTCCACAGCAGCTTTCTTCAGCTCCTTCCAAGCTTGTTCTTCTTCTTCTTCTGGATTCAGGTTTTGAAGGCTTTGAGGTTTTTAGGTTTTATGGTTTTTAGTTTAGGATTCAGGGTTTTTGGGGGGTTGAGGTACAGATTTGTATAGGACGCTTTTGCTTTCCACATGAGAGTTAAGTAATTCCTTTATTCCCGTGATAAAGCATGCCACCACCGAAAAATAGGTTTTCCAAATATACGACAACGTACCCAAAAATGGGAACATTTATGGTTTGGGGGCTTGACTAGAGAGGGGATTAAACCGGGCCTGCCGAGGGCGTCTAATTAAGGTCTAGGGTCTCCCGAAATTTTGTTTAGGGGTCAGGGAAATTTTGAGGATTTGGGGTTTAAGGGACTCGCTGCAGGAAGACTTCTGTCTCGAATGCCATAACAAGGCATCTGCGTTTCGAGGAACCTACAAGTCGATTATCCGTAGGCATGAGAGAGATTCTTTAAGAAGGTTTAGGTTGGCACTTTCATGGGCCAACATCACTTCTTTTCTGCTCCACCAGATTAGGGTTGGGCGAAGTAAGGTGGGAGGGGGGGGGGGGAAATGGCGGAGGAACTCATGACTAATCCAGGGAGCCAACATGCCCATTTACACCAATGTGTAAAGGCTTTGGTAGGTACACTTCGAGATTTATGGAAATGATATTTGCAAAACCTCACCTGGCTGCGAAAGTTAGGGTATTGCTCTTTGCTATTACGATTTACCATTTACTACTCAAAACTTTACTACTAATATCACTGGTGCAGTTTCTGCTACTAATACTATTCCGACCATTGCTATTAAATATCTCTACTTACTCCTGTTACTCATACTATTAAGACTATCAATATCCTCAAACCCTAGACCCTAAACCCTAATCTCTACTTACTATCACTGAAAAACCCATGAGCGGCTCTGAGGCTGGTCCTGGCGAGCCCTGATGGCTATTACCAGGATAATCTAGAATAATTTCAGGCCATTTCAGTACTATTCCCCTATATAAACTACCATTTAGGGTGAGGTCGGGTGAGGCCGCTTTAGATTACCCAATAGTACTAATAAGCCTATACCATCCCTATAATCCCTAGAGTTTCCATTGTATTTTCCATTATCCCAATATAACTCCAACATATACCCTATAATGATATAGTGGTTTCCATCTTTCCATTTTCCCAATTCAATGTGACCCCAACCCTAAACCCCGAACCCTAAATCCTAAACCCTAAACCCCAAGCTCCATTTGCTATTACTGAAAACCATGCTGGTCCTGATGGTACTGCAGCTTCGCAGCTACGGCCGCCTTGACGTTCCTGTCCAGGCGCCCCCCCCCCCTCCCCCCCCCAAAAAAAACATACATATATATATATATATGTATATACATATAGTGGTACGTAGTAATATATCATAGTATAAAGTAGTATATAGTAATATATAAAAATATATAGGTTATGTAACAAGATATATATGTATATATATATATATGTATAACTTCACTCTTCTCAGAAATGCAGCGGAATGTGGGCCAGAATTCATCTGAATTACCTCCACCGTAATTTCGGGACCCTCTTATAAAAGAGAAACCACCTGGCTGCTTTCGCAGAGGTCCCCAAAACACCTGGCGGCCTCTCCACCACCTCCAGCTGGCGATAGCGCCTTTGGCGTGAGCGGACCTGATCCCCCAAACGGGCCCTATGTGAAGACGAGTGACCGTTTAGAGGAGGTGTCTATAAGTTTCCAGTTTAGTTTGGGGGAGGGTAGAGAGGCCGGCAATGACACCTGGCAGTCAGGTCTGTGGAACAAACCCGCTTTGTTTGCAGGACTTCAGCCTTGAATGCAGGAACAGTGAAAGAGATCCCGATCTCCGAGCACAAAGCTACTTGAAGGGCTCTACCCGAAGTGATGTGAACATGCCACAAAAACCTGACACAATCACATAATATAGTAATGTAGGAACAGAATACAGTAACATAATGATCGAATAAAAGTAGCAATACGATAACATCAGTAGCTGACGATAACTCCCCCAAGCGCCCACGCCGACCCCTGGGACCGGTACAGAGATTACCTCTGCATGACCTATACACCCACCCTTGCACCGTGGGCAAAGGCGTAAAAGCCCACTCACCACAGAACCTTCACTAACTCAACCAAACCCAACCAAACCCAACCAAACATGCAGATACAGCCCTCGTGATACAGAGACATCACACAGGTAAAAGGTGACTTCTACCCAGGGTGGTCTAAGCTGCACTCCCTCCATTAATTAAGTGGTTTGGAATCAAAATTTGGAATCAGGACCGGGGCGGCTATAGCACAAGTCCTTCTCAGGCACCTATGGTCAAAAATCATCTAGTAGCGGCTGGCACGAAATCAAGGAATGTGCTGCTGCATCCTGTCCCCCATCTCCTGCTCATGAATGACCAGTAAGATCATCACCCCGTAATACAGGACCCAGCCATCCCCTAATCCAATGTTCCCATCGTAGTATAGAGCAGTGTTTTAGGAATATCTACTACGAGGGGGGTGGGTGGATTGGTGGGGGGTCTGTTAGGGGGAGGTGACTTATCCCTTTATAGCTGGCATATAACGAAAGTTTTAATGTCATTGAATGTCTTATAGCCAGGGGCCCTCTACCTATATGACCTCCGTATGCCCCTATACATCCCTATACATCCCCATGAAATACTTCCCAACAACCCCTCAATCCTAAACACTAAGCCCGAAACCCTAAAGCCCCCTAAATCCTAAAACCCTAAATCCTAAACCCCTAAATCCTAAACCCCAGCGAAATGCTTCCCAAAGGGCCCTCTCCGCCAGGGTGTCCAGCAGCTCTTTGGGCTCCGCGCTGACGTCAATCAGTTCCGTGATCTGCCCTACCCTGGTCGGAAGCATGGTCTGGGATTTAAGGTGAACCCAAACCCTAGGGGGTTATATGGGGTTATATAGGGTTTAGGGTTTAGGACTTGGGATTTAAGGTTGAGGCTTTAGGGTTTAGGGCAAATAGGGATGTAGGAGTTGGGGGAAAGGGGGGGGCTTAGAGTTCGACTTTTTGAGTTTGCGGTTGGGAGTTAAGGGAGGCTTAGGGTATTCCTCGTAACAAGAATGGAGTCAATATGGAACATGCTAAGGATCTCAGAATCACTTCCCCATAGTATTTAAACCTCGCATCCCATCATAGCAAATTTCCCTAAACACATGCTGGCACTACATCGTGAGTTCTCATTATCAGGTTTGTGTTTGATTTTTGCGGGCAAAGGGATTTTGACAACAATCATTGGTGCAGTCTTCCATCGTTCGAGGCAAGTTTGAGAGGCCCTGGCCAAGAACCTTGCCAAAACCGTCACGTGGCACAATGGCATGCCTGAACCATCTTGGACTAAACTTGTATGCACCTTCACCCACTGTGCTCGTTTTCCGAAGCAGTGGCCAAGTGCCTTTACGCAACCTCTGATTCCTCTAGATTTTGATTCTGACTATAGGCCGGCCTCGGGCCATTGCGGAGGATATTGGACTACAAAAGCATTCAAGGGATCCTTGCTGAGTATTCGGGGCTTCCAGTTTTTAATTCTTGAAATGCTTCACATCAGGACCTGCTCCAAAGCCAGATCTCAGGCCCCAGCGCTGTGTCCAAATCGTTGACCAGCTGAAGGTTTCCCTCTGCGCTGGCCAATTGCTGACGGTGGGTATTGCACTCCTCTCGCCTTGGCGGTTTACTTGTCGGTGGCTGGTGAAGGTTTAGGATTTAGCGCTTAAGAACCTAGTTCATGCTCAGAATTGCCGTCTATCCGGATTTGACAGGCAACGATAATGAGACTCAAACTTCCACTCTTCTTTGGATGAAAAGACTGCAAGCTTGTGGAAATTGTAGGTTTAGGGCTCGGTATCAAGGGGTGCGTTTGATCAGGAACTGTATTCGTAGCATCCCCGTTCACAACAGGGAACGCACTTTTGAGGTTTTCAAACTCAAGTGGTGGTGGTGGTGGTGGTGGTGGTGGTGGTGATAACGGTGGTGAGGATGACGATGACGGGTGCTGGTGGTGGTCGTCCTGGTCCCGCTCCTAGTCAAGGTCGTGTGATCGTGGTCAGTGGCAGTCCGGCGGGGGTGCAGTGCCGGCTGCGGCGGAGGCGGAGGCGCAGGCGGTGGTAAGGACAAGAAGGAGGAGGAGTCTTAGTTTTGGGGCGATCGGTCCTTCGCACTTGGCATTGAGAGCTTGTTGAGTTTCTACCGGTACATCGACTTTAATATGTTCCCGGCTATGATGGAGTCAGTGTAGCGCGAGCTTTGCTAGGGTCTGCTTCTACTGGTACTCCCAAATGGAATCATATGGACAAGAAGCACTGTAGGGCATGAAGTCAGCCCCGGTGTGAATGCTTGAAGCTGTCCGTCCGAAAAAAAGGCAGGACAAATTCAGGCCCCTTTGCGGGCGAAGCTTGCCAACACTTCCTCACCCCTAGACCCCTAGGACCCTAGACGCTAAACCCCTTCATGACACCCCCATCGCCTACAGTTTTATGGCGTATAATCATTCAATCAACGGTCATTCCCGCTAAGCTGTAGGTACGTGGGGTTACAGGCAGACCCAAGCTGGGCAAGCTGCAGTTGCTGGAAACTTTTGCTTTGCAGCGCTGGGAGTCGGCGAAACAGCGACTCGAAGAAGGCGCCTAGACCCAGGTTTGATTAGGGTCTTAGGGGTTTAGGGTTCAGGTTTAGGGGGTTAGGGTTCAGGGGTTTAGGGTTAAGTTCGTTTAGCAGTTTGTGTTTAGGTCCGGGCTGTGTGCGGTTTAAACTACCAAGCCTATGCTCCAAAGTTCTAAACTGGCTGGGCCCCAAGTCCGTTCAAAGCGCACGTCGGCCCAAGCATGTGCCGGCTGCACGCATCATCGTAGCGAGAGTGCTCTGTAGACATGGTCCCCTTATGATACTCATGAGCCATGACTATGGGAGATCTTGGTAAAGCAACAATGCCATTACTTGTAGCAGCACATGCGGAAGCAGATACGACGCTTGCAGCGGCAACCTCCTCTTCCTCTGAGTCCTCTTTTGGTGATGCCGTAAAATGGTGCTTGGGGGATTGGATGTCAAAACTAAGGCTTTTCGGGGGGGAGGGGGGAGGGGGGGGGGGTTTAGCTATACTAGCGCCTCATATCTAGGGTACCCAAGCTAGGAACACAATTCTGACAACCAACCCTAAACCCTGAACCCTAAACCCACTTGGTAGTTTCCCAAGGTAGGGGATCCCACGAAAGACACCAAAAAACTATAGTCCCAATTTAGGGACCCCAAAAAGGTACCCCTAATTTTGGGAAACCCCCGCTTGTAACAAAAGCAAGGACACAGCGTGTCCGGCCGCGCCTTGCTCGGAGACACCTGTCTCCTCATCATCGTTCACCTGGGTTTCCCATTTTGAGGGTCCCCATTCGAGGGGTTCCCAAAGAAACGGCCTGTTCAGAAAGATTCAAATGTAGTAAGAAGGTCTTATGTGGCAAGGTTGAAGTTTGGAGCCGAGTTTGGCAACCCAACCCCCAATGGAACCTGCCATAGTCATATGAGCTATAGTGTAAACTCCTTAAAAAGGGGTGACATAGGGGACTATTATAGGGGTTAGTTAGGGGGATGCTGCTCATATGGGTGGGATTATCCAAGCCCTCTCACTAGCGGGAATGGGTTGCGAGCATAAATTCTACTCTCGGACCCCATGATCTGTTTTCTACAGCTTTGGAAGGAGCCCAGGATGACAGAGCTGCAGAAGCGCAGTCAAGCTAGGCCAGGTTAACCAATTGGGGTTAATATTAGGGTTCTATTGGGGTTATATTGGGGTAATATTAGGGTTATATTGGGGTAATATTAGGGCTATATTGGGGTTATATTGGGGTAATTTTAAGGTTATATTGGGGTTGATTTAGGAGCCATATCTTAGTCAAGCGGCATTCCCCTAATCATAGCCCCGCCACCTCCTAAGGATGTATTTTGGTGCGAGTACATATGTATATTCATATGTGATATATATATATATACATATACACGAAATAGATCTGTATTAGAATATTTCTCACTAATGTGGTGGTGGTGGGGGGGGGTGATTTAGTGGGGGTGGGAATACACCTGGAGCCCCAGATCACACGACTTCTTCTGCTTCCATGTGGCCAGCAAAGGGGAAGTCTGTGAGCTGCAGGCCTCAGTTTCATGGGGCTATTTCTAGGGTTTAGGGTTTAGGGTTCAGGGCTTAGGGTTTTAGGGCTTAGGATTTACGAGTAGGGTTTAGGGTTCCATGGGCTGCTATGGTTGATAGGGTTCAGGGCCTGCAAATTGAGATGTATTAGGCCTCATTAAGGCTTGTTTATTAGATCGGGGGGGGGGGGGGGTGTATATCACACCAGTCATCTTTATGTCCCTGAGTTTGCAAATTCAATGCATGTGGGATACTGGGGTGTTGGGTTAAACGGTTAAAACTTTCAACGCACCGGTCCATGGCAGTAACATGCATCGGCCATAAGTTATGTGGATTTTATTCGGCGTGAGATCGTATTGGGCTTGGGATTCGAGGCCTGCAGCAGGAGCATTCAGGCAAAGGACAACTTTTCCCCAACTGGTAGTTTCCAAGAACCAGGGTCCCCTTACACACCCCCAAATATTTGACAATGGAGGGGGCGTCTTCCAAACCCCTCAAAAAGCGCAAGTCATTCTTATAGTGGTCATTCTCATAGAGGCTCCCAAAAAGGGCGCTTAAGCTTTGGAAGCCCCAAAACGCCATATGGCCCCACGTGTCCCTCTATACCTCTACATACCCCTCTATAACCCCTTGAAACCCTACCCTCTTGAACCCCAAACTCCTCAACTCTAAACCCCTAAACTCTAGACCCCCAGACCCTACACCCTAAGCCCCTAAACCCCTAAGCCCCTAAACCCCTAAACCCGAAATCCCTAAACCCCTAAAACCTAAACCCTAAATACGATACTCCTAAACCCTTTAAAGGAGCCCAGAAGCCCAGGCCGGCAGAGGGCACATGGACTGCTGGCAGAGGGCGATGTCCTGGCAGCTTGCTTGATGGGTTTTGGGTTTGGTGTTCAAGGCTAAAGGTTTAGGATTCAGGAGTACGTAAGGGTAAAGGGTTTACGGTGAAGGGTTAAGGGTTATAGGGGTTATAGGGTATTCAGTTTCTTTTTTTACAACCCCTCGGACTTTTGATGTCTGCCAGGCACGACACGGGGTTCAGGGTTTAGGGTTCAGGGTTTTAGGCTTTAGTGTCCAGGATTTAGGGTTAAGGGTTTTGCGTTTAGGTTTTAGGGTTCAGGGTTTAGGGCTTAGAAATACGAATCCAGGGAACCTGGCGCAAGCAAAATAACATCTTATGCTATCCTATGAGCTGAAACTACAATAAAGGCACTTATGCTATATGATGCGCTAAACGCGCAATAATGAAGAAAATAAGTATTGGTATCATCTAATATTAGAGGCTGGTTTTGATCTTAGTGGAGATTCATCCTCTCTAATCCTTATGTGGCCTTACATATATTATACATATACACATCTCTCTCTCCCCCATTTACGGTAGTTTCCATTTTCTTTTCCATTGTTCCCACTACGGGGAGGGGTTTTAATCCTCCGCGCCTCCTCGTGGATCATGAACCTGCAGTCCAGCCGGAAGTTGAAGGGCACATCGTAGCGTTCCGTAATCCTGGGGATGTAGGGATTCAGAGTTTATGGGATTTAGAGTTTCAGGTTTACAGGTCCAAGGTTGTAGGGGTGTTACGCCGTTTAGGGTTTTAGGGCTCGTGGGTTGGAATGCTAGAACTCTTCCGCAAAAGGCTGTTGAGACAATCGGAGGCGCTGCCTGCATGCCTATAGTGTCTCGAAATGGGGACCCACTGTCGGAGTGTCAAAGAATGCAAGTGGGCGTTTTCCAAAATTACAGGTACCAACTTAGGAGTCCTTATAAGAAGGACTATAGTATCTTGCGGTCTATATTGTGGTCCCCCTATTTTGGGAAACTACCATATCTATATACACACACACACCCTATATACCCCTATAAACCATATATAGCCCCTATATATACCCCTATATAGCCCCTACTTAGGGTTTAGGATGGTTTAGGGTTAAGGCAACTACCGAGTAGAAAGTAGAAGGAGCCTTGTCCTGAGGAGCCCTAAGCAGATCTTCTTTGCAGGCAGTCCCAGGGACGAGATCTTGGAGTACATAGAAGATAGTAAGGAATGAGGGTATATATATATAGGGGGTTTAAGGCTGTTTAAGGTTTAGGGTTAAGGGTTTACGGTGAATACATAGGATTTGGCGTTTAGGGTTTAGGGTTTAAGGGGAATATATAGGATTTTAGCGCGTCGGGTTTAGGGTTTCGGGTAGGCAATATGGGAAAACCTTATACAAGGAATGCGAAGGTCGGGAAACAGTAAGTCTGGAACATGAACCTAGAGAGCCCAATACCCCTGGATGAGGGAATATACCCAAGGGATACATAGGGGCCATATGGGTTTTATAGAGATTATATGAGGAAGATACCCTAAATGGTCCTATGGTCCCTCAGATGAATTAAGCGAGATTCCTCAATTAAGGGGCATTGGTCTCCCTGGCTTCAATGTATACTCCCCATATAGAGAGAAAATATATTGCGAGGAGGACACTACAGCTGCGGTGCCCAGAACCTGAGTGCCCTTTGATGTCAGACCTGTGGCTTCCAGAATTGCATCTGGTAATAACGGTAGGAATCTTATTACTACTATGAATAGAATTAATAGTAGCAATTATCGTACTTAATAGTAATTAATGGTAATTAATGCTAACTAATTAATAGTAATGCATAATGATAGTAGGACCATGCTTGTATGCTTGTGCTCCAGCAAGCCACAGACGTCCACAAATATCAAAGAATTCCACATGCATGCAAGCTGCATGATGACCTCCTTCTCCCAGTCGGGCGTCTTCTGGGAGCAGTCATGGAGCTCATCATGCTCCTTTATCCGTAGCTTGCTGCTGTACTCCTTCAGAAGGTTCGACATCTTCATGATCTGAGCCTGGCAGAAGGTCTCCTACGCAAACTAAACAGGGTTCAGGATTGTAAAACAATCCAGATTAGGAAAGCAGCCTTCCCCCCCACCCACACACACCCACACCAACCAAAAAACAATATCATCAAATATGCTGCCTCCAGTCCGGATGTCCCACAACATTGAACAAGCTCAAAGAAAAAGCAACGAGCCAATTGGTGGAGACTTGGGGGTGCTCCTCTATCTCCGAAAATGCAACCCTTACATGATGGAAGATGAAAAAATTCGAATCGTAAAAGCCTGCAACTGGTGTCTATTGTCTGCACTCAGCGCCCCCTGGTGCTAGTGACCTTGCGCTCGCTGTCCACATAAAATCCCTTAAGCTTGCGATCCTGGCCTGCGTCATGCTAACACAGACCTGCTCGCGCGAGAAGTGCGCTTTCAGAACAGCCTTGTGTTCGGCTTTTGGTTGATGCGTGCTTGCAGGGGCAGAGGGTCTGCTCTGTTAAAGCACGCAAGAACTCCTGAACAAAACCATGATCCTGCTACCCCTTGACATTCTTCGTACCCCTACTTACAATACTACGAACCCTCAACACGGGAGTCTGCCAGTGCTCTGCACTGAATTCCTGCCAGGTTTTTGGGGACGTTCTTGGGCTATTGATCAACATGTTCTCGCCTCTGCCAAGTGCAACTCTTCCCAATAACAGCACCCAACAAATTCTTAAGTTCAATGACGTCTGCTTTTAGGTGGTTGCAGGAATGGCCTGACTTTGCAAAGCCCTGTTACACCAATAGCAGCGCCGACTGAATCCATGTGAACTACAAGGAGAATTTGCCAAGCATTTCTTGAAACCTGTTCCTGAGATTTGCCCAAGTTCAGAGATTGTCACCCACACTCTGGGGGGGGGGGTCGTCAAAATTGTAATCCCTTTCTAATCTCTTTGGACGAGACGGGCCGACTTCTATAGGCTACTCAAAGTAAGGCCCACTTTGGACTACCTACTGCATGGTCTTCTCTGTGAAAGGCCAAATCTCCCTAAGAGCCAGGATAAACCCTGGGATATTATGCTAGTTACCCAAAATGGGGGGGCCCCAGACCCCCACACTGGTACCGTTTATTTGGGGAAACCCTCTTCTAGCTGTCCCAGCGACCCCGAGGAGGTCTGGGCCCGTCGTATCCTGTCAGGCTCCATGGCAGTTGTGGCGTGGGGGTTGGGGTTCATGGGAATGGTAGTTGAGCTAGGCTAGCAAAAGCTCCTGAAAGGCTGACTGGAAGACCGTTTAGACTATGGCTCACATGGGAGTCAGTTGTAATCAACGAAGACCACTCAGCTGCTGGAAACGGGAAAGGAATGTAAGGATGCTTGCTATAGGGCTTAGGGTTGAGGGCTTAGGGTACTCTACGAGATCTGACTGATGGCAAAGCTAGCCTCAGCCACTCCTCAATCAGCCCCGAGTCCCGCTACCCCACTTGCAGTATTTCCTGTCACAAAATCCTGGAAATACCCATATTGGAGCCCAATACCCCTTGAATAAGGAATATACCCTGAATGGTACTAGGATGCCTTGTATGATTTAAGCCTTAATTAGGGGATATTGGCCTTTGTAGGTACCCTAAACCCTAAACCCTAATTAAGTTCCCCGAAAAAGGTCCAAAAAAAGCAAGGCCTCGACGGAGGCCTGGTCTCGGATAAATTGCAGGAGCTCCTTCTACGCGAATGGGTACTAGGGACCAGAAGGAATACTGGCCATTTGTGTTGTGCTTATGTATTCTCATTCTACTAGGATTTAGGGTTTAGGATTCAGGTGATGTCCCTATGTATTCCCATTCCACCACTATTGGTGGGTGGAGCGGCCACTTGGTGAATGGGGCTTGAGGAACTGAAAAAAAAGTGGTTGGCCCTTTTAACTATACCAAAGAACAAGCTTCCATGCTCTGCCAAGCCCTTCACAAGGCCAAGCACTTCTTAATGTAAAATACGAAGCGACAGGAGAACAGTATCGTACTCGATATTTGGGATTATAGTATCCGTCACGACAAGGCTGGTGCGGGCTTCATGATGCCACTGGGCTGCGCAGAGCCTATCTCGGGCTCAACATAAATCAGTTTGAATTTCCAAAGTATTCCCCTTTCCGCCTCGGTCTTATCCTGTCTCAAGCTCAGATGCGAAGTTCCACAAAGCAAAGATGCTTCGTGCTGATGAGTCAGGCAAGTTGCATAGCGCAGCAACCTCCAATAGAACAACACAAGCAATTAGACTGAGAACGAGGATCATGATTGTTGAGAATTGAGAATGGATAACCTTAACTCAAGATGATGATGATGATGATGACGATGATGATGATCGTGACTGGCCATCATGTTGCGCACGGGCGGGGTGGAGGGGTGACCCTATGTTGTGCATGTCCTGGTGATGAGGGCTCCGATATGCTCCGATTCTGGGTGCCAAGCAGGGGAAGTTGGGATCGGGCATCAATTGGGAGTTTCAGGGCTTTAGCAAGCCCATTGCAACCCCCTCATGAAATCCTTTACCTGGCTTTACCTGAATCACCCAAATACTGCCAGCATCGATATCACAAGCATTACACCTCCTCCTCGTTGCGGATACCACAGCCGCCGCCGCTGCCCCCACCGCACCCACCAGCATCACCAGAACCGGCACCAGCACCGGCACCGGAACCACCACCACCAAAGCAGCAGCAGCAGCAGCAGCAGCAGCAGCAGCAGCAGCACGAGTATTATGATACGTGCTGCTCACTTCAATACGGGTTCATCACGAAAGATGCATGTGTGCCCAAACAAGTCCTCCTTCAGGCTCTTGGCGGCAGAGTTCAGGGCCTTCCTGAAGAAGAGTAGCGGATAAGATGTTGTAAGGATTGCCGAAAACTAGGGCGATAGTTGGGCTTGTGGAGTATTATGTGGATCTCCAGTCGAGGCCCCCCAAGACTTCATTCATCGAAAAATAATTTCGCGTTTGGCAGATGCTGTTCCGACTTCAGATCTAGCTCCTCACAGCTCGTGATTATGACGACTTCTGCAGATTGTATTACAGGTATCCAAGCAAGTGAACGCTGCTGTACACACAGACTTAAAGACGTAATTTCGTCGATAAGTCTCAACTATCTGCTGAGACGAAGGCTTCCGCAAGCACAAGTCGCCCCAAGGCTCGGCTTGGGGTCTTGAGCCTAAGCCCTGAAATTCTTGCCCAGGGCTCTCTTTTGGGTCGATGGTGTTGCAGAGCATCTGGCCCAGGAAGTCCGCGACAGCTTCCTGTTGGCTTCAGCCGTTTTCTGAAGGTTTGGGATCTTACTACTTTGAGATACGTAAGGGGGCCTCCCATGGTCAGAAATCATGCTGAGATGTGCCCCCTGAGAAGTCGACACAAGGCGTCTTCACAAGACGCGTCCCTTGGGGGCACCAGACATACATGCGAACAACAGAACTGACACATGGGCCCCAACAAAGATTGCAAAGTGAAAACGTTGTCTCAGGCTTAAAAATCGTACAGAGGTTGTTGAGGCGGAGCGTGACAACCTCAAGGTTTAGGGTAGCTTAAAGATTTAGGGAAGCTCCTAAGCAACAAGCAACAAATTGAACGACTACTTTCACTACCCGGGCATGCTCACTTCGGCCAAAGGCTGCTGCAGCTTGAGCTCATCCAAAAACCCAATTGAGTATGCTGCAGTACTGTACAGTAGCCTTGGGGGCCAACTATAAGAGTCAACTGCGGTACATAACCCGCTTCGAACTTGAGTGTTGCCTGCAAACAAAGAAAACCTTGTGCCCCTTCCCAAAATCTGAAGTCCTTCGACCAATGCCAGATCCTTGCGAAGCCTAGAGAATCCATGCTAGGGGCGTAACCGAAAACAACTTGGAAAATTAAATGGAAACTGCGCGCTTTAGGTGACATCCCCGCATCAATCAAGACTTTTAATACTCATTTTAGGAGGAATAATATTCTGTGAGCCCCCGGAAAGCTTGCTGCATATGTTCACTAAGACGTATTCCAACGAAACCAAACAAACATTGGCCACCTCCATAACAGCATCCCTAAACTACGTGGACACCACATGGTAGTTTCCAGACCTACGGGGTGCAATGTAGACCCCAAAAGTACTACAATCCTTATTGCCAGGACTCGAGGAGAAGGGCCCTTCCCTATAATCCCCATATATACCCCTACAGTAGTTCCTATATCCCCATATAATCCCCATATATTATACCCCTACTCTTTGCGTGCAAGCATCCAGGTTCATGGCTGTTTGGGGCTCATCGGGCTTAAAGTCGTTCGAGGTCTTCTTCAAGAAGAACTCGGGAACCTGAGTTACCCAGGGAGCCCAACACCCCTCAATAGAGGAATACAGCTGCAATCATATAAGGGATCCTAGTACCATTTAGGGTATATTCCTTATTCAAGGGGTATTGGGCTCTCTGGGTAGTCTCCTACAGGACTAGAATCGGGCTTTGGGTGTCGGATACGAAAGGAACCCTACTAATTCCGCCCCTCTAATATTCAACGAACTCCCACCCTTGACTGTGAAGCACTCCTATACGAAACCTCATACACTGGGAGTGTATTCAGTGCTGGGCGGATTGAATATGAGAGGCAAGCATGGATAACACCCATAAGCCTCCTAAACCCTCAATCGTAGTTTCCATGTTCACTTCCATTATCCCTATAGAATCCCTATAGAGCCCTTATATCATCCCTAAATAACCCCTCCGACCCCTGCCAGGAATATGAAGGAATAAGATCGGGAACGCTGCAGGCTGCTATTTTACGGACAGCTTGGCTCAGCATGGTTTAGGGTTTAGCGTAAGCCTAGGACCGCACAAAGACAGGTGTCTTAAAGGGACCTACATGGGGTTCTCAGTTCGTTTTGAGAACAGAAAGTTCAACCTGAGTAGAGAAGTGGGATCAGAGTTATGAAAGAAACCAGGGAGTACAATACAATGCTTTGAAAGGTGACCCTAGACCCTAAACCCTCAATAATAGTAATTTCCATTTTCTTTTCCACTATCCTTATAGAAACTCCATATAATCCCTATAGGACACGGTCTGCGAGAGCTCGGACATGATCGTGACAGCAGCTCCTATCAGTCTGATTGGAACTGACTGCTGAATTGAAAACAAATAAACCAAAAAAGGCCCACGGGTGCATCAAACATCTTTCTAACCAGTCTCGCAAAAAAGCCCGCGAATCTCAAACCCCAAACATTGATGCTAAGCAAGAACAGTGGCTGCAAGCCTGCTTATGGCTACTGTTACGCGAAGCTTCGATGGCCATTACTACTCTTTTATTGCATTGCGACACGTACCGTACTGCGGCCCCCTGAATAACGCCATCATGACGATACAGCACGGAGGGGACGGCACACTATCAAGATCCAACATTAAAGCCCTCTACCTGTATTCCTTATATCATATCTCTGTATGATCCCCAAAGATATCTCTATATATCCGCTATATAACCCCTACATAATCCCTACAAACCACTTTCAAGGGCTCATCCGTGCTCAGCCAGGGACAGCAAAGCGCACGCTGTCCCTCAGAAGCGGCTCTATAACGCCATAGACGAAGAGACCTTGAAGCCGCTTCTCTTAAATATCATTGGGGTTTAGGGTTTAGGGACCCCTAAACCCTAAACCCTAAACCCCCAAACCCATTGGGGGGGTACCTTTACGGCTTCAGTTTACATTATCAGGGTGTACTTTTAGGGGTTTAGGTTTTTTTCGATGTCTCGTTACCCGCCGCACCGTAATACGTAAGGCCCAGGTTTAGGGTTTAGGGTTGGGCCCTCCCTGTAGCATTAAACCGGAGGTTTATGGCAATTACGACTGAATTGTACTTAACCCAGTTATGAACCCCATACATGACAAGTCCTCTGTTGGGATTATACACTCAACTCTGAAACCCTCAAACCCTCAAACCCTCAAACCCTAAACCTTAAAACCGGCATTATATCCCCATATTCCGTACTAACCACCCAAACCTAAACCCCAAACCCTACTCCCCAGAACCCCAAACCCTAAACCCTAAGGTCAGCCGAGGCTTGGGAAAGCACAGGCTAAGTGTGACGGGTAGGGTCGTGCATTTCAGGTTTAGGGTGTTTAGGGCTTCAAGGTTTGAGAGGTTTAGGGCTTGGGGCTTAGGGGCTTTTAGGGCTTCAGGGTTTTTAGGGGTTTAGGGCTTAGGGCTTGGAGATTAGGGGTTTGCGATTTCATCCCTAGAGGTGCCCAGAGAGCCCAATTCAGGAATATACCCTAAACGGTACTAGGATCCCTAGAATGGTTCAAGCCATATTCCTTAATCAAAGGGCATTGATGGAACGAGCTTACAGTGCCCCAAGTCAAAGGCCCTTAGGTCCCGGCTTACCGTGCTCACGGCAAACATGGGAGTGCGATGTTGCTTAAGGCAGCTTACGAACGCCAGGGTTTTGCTTTGGCCAGCTTCCTTTCTGCCACTCGCCTTCTTGCTTCCTTTTGTGGAGATTTGAACTCTGCTCAGCTGGGCTTCGTGTAGGTAGTCGATTCAAGCCATCTTCGAATGAAAGTTGGGCTCACAGTACACGGTTAATTGTTCTTGAACAAATGAGGGCTTTGCCAGGACCTAGCCCTTCTGGCAGCCCAGCGGCGCAGGGCTGGCAAGTAGGGCCTCAAATCCCGATCGATGTCCTGCATCCGAGCACATTACATGGAAGCTTGACATATCGATGAAGAAAGCTCTGGCTACCACCACTACTCCTCTCCTATCACTCTCACTACGATGGGTAGAAGTGTAGGGGGTGCTACCCGGGGGGGGCGGGGGGGATCAGGGGCGGGGCGTCGGCGGCAGTGGCAGTGGTGGTGATGGTGGCAACAAGAGAAGCAGGTAGCCCTTCTTGCGAACTTCGCCTCCTTGCTCATAGCACTGCTCTCAGAATGCAACCCTCCCCGGCTCCTGAAGGCTGGGGGCCTCCCTCCATCTCCTGGAAGGCAAGCAAGTTTGCGGTACAGTTCTAAAAAGGGCTCATAACGCACACCCTGATTCAGGAACACCAGTTCGTTCAAGGCCCAAACATTCACAGTCACATCGCTGCAAAATCTCCATCTAGGGACTGGATTCAATCGTGTAAGAATGCTTCCGTAAGCTCTACAAGGCTTCAGGAAATACCCCAACCCTGGCTTCAGATCCTCCAAACCAGATCTGCCTTTCCGTGGAACTATGAGAGCCACGGTTTCGCCGTCACAGGAGCTTCAAAGTAGGGATTCTGTCACTCAAGTATACACGATATGGGGGCTCTGTGGGGGATTACGTAGTCATTGGGCTGCACAATCCTCAACAGGCAGCCTGTCACTCTTCTAACTCTTGCAAACCAACACACAACCTCATCCCTACAGAAGCCAAGGTTCATGATGTTACTTATGCAGCTCGCGGACACCCGGGCTATTCGGGAATGTGGTAGGGCTTAGTATTCCCATCGCTGCCAAGCATCTGGGCTGCATAGGCCACGTTACGCAGCGCTAAGCGCATGAACATGGGAAGGTCCATGCTTTTAACCTGGGCCATCTCGGTTCCATTGGGGAGTACCAGGGTGCACCCGTGGGGTAGGTTACTGTGACAGACACCGCATGAAGGGCGATCAAGGTGTGCTGGCTCATTGCTTTACTCAGGAAGAATCCGTCCCACCTACGCCGTCTCGGGCATCGTGAGCTTAGACTGACCAAACTCGCTATATACTGCGCAACCCTACCTGATGCCTTGCTAACCCTTGTATACTCCCAAAAAGTCTACTCACTCGTCCAATGAAGGCCCAGCAGCCACTGGAAGGAACTTTTCCATGAGGAACTGCCGGAATGAATTGAGACCTCTGGCAGTTTGCTGTGGGTTCGAAGCAAGGGGATTCAGGGCAGCATCTCCCCTGGGAAAGAAGCACTCTTGGTGGCTTAGCTCTGCAGCTCCGGAGATGCGGGGCTTTGAAACTAGGATTTGGGGTTGGGGGTTCAGGTCTTAGGATGTGAGGTTTAGGGTGTAGGGTTTAGGACTAGACCCTAAACCCTAAACCCTAAACCCTAAACCCTGTAGGGTTTAGGGTTTAGGGCCCAGATCACAGCTTTTGGGATGCCCTCTAGGGTTTCGGGTTTAGGGAAGATGTTGGTACACGGCGTCCCTGTGAAAATCCAATAAGGAACCTAAACGCCTTTTCGGGTGATTGCGCCAAGTAAGACAACATTATTTTTACAAAATAGTTCCACAAAAAAGAAGGAACTATCCCTAAGCCTCAAACCCTATACAACCCCATTATAATAGTTTTCCATTTTCCATTCCTTCATTCCTAGCTAACTTATTAATGACTTGACTATGGCATTCCCAATACAAATACAACATGAACCACATTCAACCCCATGTTCCGTCTCCTTGTCCCTGAGGTTTTGTATTTGGTTCTACGTTTTTATGGGACTATAGCACCAAACCCTGTACACCTTGTTAGATGTCCCCATGTATCGCCCTGTATCCCTGTATATCCGTATATGCTCCCCATTTACAAAGGCACGAGGCGAGTGTTTAGGCTTGAGGAGTTCTGGATTAAGGGCTTTGGGGCTCAATGTTTAGGATTTTGGCAGAATTGACGTTGACAGTCTTTAGGGTGTCGAGATCCACTCTGCCCCCAGCGAACACCCGAAAGGGGACCGCCCAAAGCCGCATTCCCTTCAAAAAGTGTGCGGGCTTTTCAAGTGGGTGCTTCTCAGACTCTTCTCAATGTCACTAGTCACCTCCCCAAACCTACACCCCAAATAAGAAATAGTCCACGTACTATTTGGGGTGCCTATACTGGGGAATTTCTATGGGTGCCCGTAGGGACCCTCGGGGCAAATTCTGACGGGTTACATCGAGTCTGCAGGAGACTTTTGATAAAGGGACTTTACAAGGAACACCAACAGGGAACTCCCCCAAGAGTATAGTAGGAATATAATAGGAATGTACCCACCAGATTCCTTGTATTCTATTACATTCCTACTATATTATATTCTTGGGGTTCCCTGACCCTAAACCCTAAACCCTAAACCCTGAACCCTAAACCCTGAACCCCAAACCCTAAACCCCAAACCCTAAACCCCAAACCCTAAACCCCAAACCCTAAACCATTAAAGTCCCTTTATTTGAGAAGCTGAGCTAGCGGCCAATCGTGTAAAGGTTCTTCAGCTCCACCTTCGGGCTCAGGACATAGTAGTTTAGGGTTTAGGGTTTAGGTTCTAGGGTTTAAGGTTTAGGGTTTAGGGTTTAGGTTTTAGGGTTTAAGGTTTAGGGTTTAGGGTTTACGTTTTAGGGTTTAAGGTTTAG